GGGCAGGCTGGAGCGCAGCGGCGGCTCTGCCGGGCCCAGAAAGCACCGTCAGCTCGGGAGGGCTCCTGGGGTTCGGCCGCCAGACGGGAGCTTACGGGCGGATCCTGCTCCTCCCGGGGAAACCGAGGCACGGAGCCGCGGGGTGCGGGCGCTGCGGCACCTTCGTGTCCCCCGGAACGGCCCGTCTGGGAGCGGGACTCGTGCCCCGGGGAAGGGCCGAGTTGGGGAAACCCTCCAGTCCCCAGGAGCTGCCCCTGGAGCTGCCCCTGCCCCTCTCCGAGCCAGAGACATGGAGAGGTCACCCCCCCCCAGCCTCTCCTGCGGCCCCTCCAGGACAGATCTGCCTCAGGGGAGCTGGTTGCTGTGAAGTTCTGCACGAGAGGGTGGCACTGGCATTGCTGACCCCGCATGCTGCCTGCCCGGGCCCAGCTGCGCGCAGCTCCTGCCCAACTGATCCCACAGACAAGTGGGGGGGTGTCCACACGTGTTCTTGGAGGGGACCAACCTGCCTGCAACAAAGCTGTACCCACAGCCTAGCTGGGACTCCAAGGCTGGGAAGGGTGCCCTCAACAGCAGTAAGCAGCGAACCAGGCCAGCTCTCTGTCCTTCCACCCATCCACCCATCATCCATCCATCAATCCATCTGTCCATCCCTCCCTCCCTCCACCCATCATCTATCCATTCATCCTTCCATCCATCCCCTCCCTCCCTCTTCCTATTCCTCCAGTTATCTTCATTTCAGGACCTGTCTCTCCCTCCTCCCCAGCTGTCCTTAGCCACCTCTCTCCTCTCCTTTGCCCCTTGCCTTTCCTGCCTCTATCTTTAACCATCTCAGTCTCTGCACTGCTTTCAAGGCCAAGTGCAGCCAGGAGCTGTGAATAACTTGTTTGGCTGCCCCAGCCTCAAGTGGTGTTGCCAAGGGTGACTGCGTTTTGGGCAGGCTCTGCAACAGCTGCCCAGGCACTAACAAAAGCTCTCCTTGTCCTGCCACAAAGCGCCATTATTCAAAAAACTTCTGGGCAAAACATTGCGCCGAGGTGAGGGAGGACAAGGGATGCCCGGCGGGAGGGGTATGCCGTGGTGGAGAGGCACCTTGTTGCCCCGGCTCAGTGCCCTGGGGAGGAAGGCTGTTTTGGAAGGGCTGCAGGGTGTGTGGGGCAGGTATGCAAGCTGCCATGTGGGCAGCAGAGCTGCCTGGTGTCAAGAGGAGTTTTGCAGGGGGTGGCCAGGGTTGGCTCAGCGCCTTTCCACCTGCAGCCCGCTGACATGAGTAACCCGGGGTTGCTGCGCTGGGTTGACCCAGAGGTTTGCTGGCTTTGAAATACTGGGGAGATCCGGTGTCGAGGTAAGACGGGCTGTGGGGGTTCAGCCAACGGGCTCTCCAGCCCCAGACCTTGCTCCAGCAGCCCCAAGTCCAGACATTGTCCCTGGGGAAGGAGGGATGCATGCACCCCTGGCTCCTCCCAAGGCATTGCACGTGGGTTGTCCCCACCCCACACTAGAAACACCTCACAAGCCCCTACCCTGCCGCAGAGTGGGTCCCCAGCTTAGAGGGGCACGGAGGAGAGGATCAGGGGTGGGGCTCTGGGCGATGTGGACTCAAAGCCCTGACCTGGGTCCCCTGCCTCCTTCCCTCCTGCTGCCCCTGGGTGGATCTTGGTGAGCTTCACAGCTCCTCTTCTTCTTGGCATGGCCACAAAACACCACGAGGGGCCAGCAAGAGACAGACCCAGCTTCGAGCCATGGGGCAGCACAGCCCGAGGACCCGGTGGCCCATCTCCTCCAGAGACCTGGTGCCCTGAAGCCTTGGAGACCTGGTGGGCCATCTCCTCTGTGGGCCTCCCTGCACCACCACCCACCCCCCCCCACCCCCAGTCTCTGGGGGCTTCCTTGCAGGGGGGTCAAGATCCTCTCCACCCACACAAAGCTCCCTGCTCTGTGCTGGTGCCTCTGGCGTTACCTGACTGTCTCCTGGCCTGGCCCTGGGTACTGGGGGCTTCAGGCCCAGCTCACCCTGTTCCCAGCCTGGCTTGGCGCTGTGAGGCAGCCCCAGCCTCTGGCACCATGCTGCCATGTCCCTGGGCTGCAGGGGCTGGGGTGTCAGGACTCAGTGGGTGCAAGGCATTGTCCCTGCCCTGTCCTGGGACAGCACCTGGGGTACATGACTACAAGTGCCGGGGAAAAGCTCCCCCCTGCTCCACCACTCATCCTGTAACCCCTGTGGAAACCATGTGGCAGATGCTGATCCTGTTGCTGTCCCCCTGTGGAGGGGAGCAGCCCTGTCTGGTGTGGTCTCGTCCCTAGGGCTGTGCAGGGGGGGCTGGGGACAGCTGCAGGAACAATGCTGGCAGCCCGGTCAGGCAGGGAGTGCTGCGTGCAGGGCTGGGGCAGGCTGGGTTGGGAATGGTGCCCCGTGGGCTGTGTAGCACCTGTATCTGGGCTCTCAATCATGCAGGGGAAGACATGCAGAAAGCAGGCGAGAAAAAATAACAGGAAACAGGGGACATGGTCGGGGAGGAAAAAACACCCAGCCCCAGAGCTACAGTTGGCCTCCAAGGGCTGCCAGGGTGGCACTGAAACCACAGAGCCCTGCTACACCCCGGCATGGTGGCACGGCGCTGTGCCCTTGCCTTGCTGCCATCCTCACTCCCAGGACCCAGCAGCTGGCAGGAGCAAGTGTGCGGTGGGGGTGCAGACCCCAGGGGTGCTCAAGCAATTCAAGGACCCTCAGGGAGCAGTCGGAGGCCCTGCTTCCAGCTCTGTGTGTGCCAGGGCATGCCCCTGCCAGTTTCAGGGAGAGCGCTGCATGCCGCAGCTGTCCCTGCCTCAGTTTCCCCATCTCATTTCCCCTGCCAGGGCTTTCAGGGAGACTCGGTGCCCAGACAGCAATGCCAGCAAAGAAAACAACCAAGCACATGGCCAGACTGGAACGGGGGCAAGGCCACAGCCCAGGCATGGGATGCAGCTCTCTGCACACATGTGCCCACTTCCCCTTTCGGCCAAAACCAGCCCGGCCAGGGCAGGTGCCTGGGGCTTGGCAGCACTGTGGAGCTGCTGGTGCCACTTTAGATGATGGTTTCAAGATGAGTCAGTGGGAGTCAAAGTCAAGTTGGCATCCTGTTTTCAACCAGTCTGTGGGTGGCAGATAGGAGGCACCTTGGCAAGGCTGAGGACAGGGCCCTGCCTGCATCCATCCAATGCAGGCAGGGCATTCAGACCCCAGCACATGCACTCAGCAAGGTTCCAGCTCCTTCCCAGCACCCACTGGGAGAGAATCACTCGCAGCCCTGCTGTGGGCACAGGCAGTGCCAGTGGCAGCGCCAGGCTGAGGTTCTGGGGCTGATGCCCCCCTCCATCCCTACCAGCTCTGCTGTGGGTGGCAGCAAATACTCAGGAAGCACCTGGTTCCAGTCTGAGCTGAATGAGCATCTTGCTGTTGGGCTATTCCTGCATGATCTCAGAGGGAGCTGCATGTGCCAGGAGCATGCAGTCAGACCCAAAAATCCTGCTTTTGATGATGATAATGAAAATAATAACGTTTTTGCTGGTATCAGCAAAATAATGTTTGTGGGGTGAGTTTTGGCACAAAGCTACCAGCTAACAGAGTTGTCCCATGGGCTCAGCACAGCCCTGCCGGGCAGCTTTACCCCCTGCACAGCCATGGCTCCAGCAGGCAGCAGTGCAGACAAGAGGGCTGCAGGCAGAGCAGCCCACTGGGGCTCAGGACCCTGCCTCCACGGCTGAGTGCCCAAGGACAGGGAAGGGTGACAGGGTTTAAGCATGGGTCTGGGATCTCTGCCCACTGTCCCCTCCTCCGTGCTACCCCCATGCCTCCTCCCTGTCCCCACTCTGCCATGGGGGCAGGAACCCAGGAACCTGGCCGGGGAAGGTGGCCAGTGTGGGCATGGACCCTGTCCCTGGCAGCTTGGGAGGGGACACTTCACACCACGGTGTGTGCTGGAGAGCCCTGGTGCAGTGCAGGGACATGGGGCCATCCCCCAAACCTCAAACCGGGGATGGCTACCTTGGAAAACTGCAGCCTGGCCAGGGCACCGAGGCATCCACTCATCTATGGGGCACGTGCTCAACCACAGGGCACCCACCTGGCTGTGGAGCATGCACCCCCTCATGGGGCACCCACTTGGCTGTGGGGCACGCACCCGTCATGGGGCACCCTGTCAGATAAGGGACATGTACAAGCCATGAGGCACTTGCCCAGCCACGGGGCACTCACCTGGCTGTGGGCAAGCACAGGCCCCAGGGCAACGCAGCCAGCCATGGGTCACACCGCTGCCCATGTGCACAGGGGAAATGCTGGGAGGGGACTGTGCCAGCTGCTGCACGCAGCAGGAAGGACCCGCTGTGGGCCGGGGACTAGGCCAAACCGCAGAAAAGAGGAAGCCCTCAAGTGCCCCAGCCCAGTGCCAGCAGACACACGCAGGCACCTTGCATGCCACCACACCAGCCTTTCCCGGGTAAGTCTGAGCTCAGCACCGATGCCTGCCACAGGGAGAGGGGCTGAGAAATGGGTTGACTCCTGGCACTGCTGGAGTGGAGTATCCTCCCCCAGAGCATCCTCAAAACCAGGGCAGCATCCCTGCTGCCAGGGACTGGTGGGAAGAGGGACCTGAAGCACTAGTGTGCAGTGCAGGGAGCCAGCAAAGCTTTCCCAACCCTCCCCACTTTGGATGCCAGGTTTTTCTGGAGCCTAAACTTAGCTCGTGTATTTTCTCAGGACAGACGGAATGGGCCAAGGCAAAGAGGGGATTTTTTGCAGAAGAGCTGTAGCAGCTGGGGTGGGAAAGCAGGGCACCACTTTCCAGGAGGCTTTAAAATCACAGTTGAACCAGCACAGCTCTGGCTGGCTGCGGGGCTTGGACAGACAGCATGTTTTCAGAGGTTACCTCGGAAGGGAAAACACCTTTGGCTTCCCTTCCAGCACCATGGATGATCCCATCTAACACCACGTATGGCCTGTGGGCACTAAGCCCTGCACAGGGGACCGGTGCTCCCAGGTGGGCTTGAGCTGGCAGCTGGTCCCCAGCCTGGTGGAGCATCCCCCTCACTGCCTCTGCCATGCTCTCTGTTCCCTGGTTAAATCGCAGCCCTGTCAGAGGGGCCTGAGGCAGGCAGATGGGCACCATGGCCGGGAGAGCATCTCACAGCTGAGGTTCCCGTGTGCCTGCGGGCTGAGTCCCACCAGCTTCAGCTCCAAATGGCTCCCTGCCTGCACTGCTCCCCCTGCCCTGTCTGCGGGGCACTGGCCATCTGTGGCACCCCAAGAATAAAATATGAGTGTTTGGGGCACTGAGGCTGCAAGTTCCCAGCCTGCTGGGGCTCCCCATGTTCTTGGTGGCTGGGGTGAGCACCCTGAACCTGGCGAGAGCACCCCGAGCCCAGGGAGAGTACTCTGAGCCAGTCACTCCCAGGGACACCCCAGTTCATAGCTGTGACCCGCGGTGTTCCCCCTCACCCTTTGGTGCATGGTCCCATCCCTCAAACCCCCAGGCACCCTTCCTCCAAGCCTGGCTGAGACAAGGCTGGCTGCATTTCAGGCTTGACCTGCCCTGGGCAAAGCAAGAAGGGTGGAGTGGGACTGTGGCTGTTTGTCAGGTGGGGAAACAGAGGCATGGAGCAAGTACCAAGGACCGAATCCCTCCTGCGTGTAATGGTGCATGGTGCCAGGCGGCAGGGGCGGGGGGGGACAGGTGCTGCTACCCATCGGCTCTGTACCTCCCTTCGGCAGCAGCCACAGTGGGAGGGTGACACAAAAGCCACTCTGGGGTGGGACCCGGGGGCAGATGGAGGGGAGCGCAGGGCAGGGGCCAGCAGTGATGTTGGGGCCTGGGTTTCATGGAGAAGTCCTTTCTCCATCCCCTCTGGCCCCAGTGCCTCCCACCACCCCTCGCCCACGGCAAACTGAGCTGATGGTCCTTGGTGGCCTCTCCTCTCTCCCAGGCATTAGTTCCATCACCTGAGAAGGTGACAGCCAGCCCAGCAGCATGCCCTGGGCATCACCGCTGCCACGGCCACCATGGGGCCGGACTGGTGTCAAGGCAGTGGTCACGGCTGGGGTGTTTGTAACCACCCTCTGGAACCTGAGGTGCTTTCTCAACCCTTCCACGGCCTCCAGAGAAGCCCCCAAGCACACTGAGCCACTGGTGGTCCTGGTGTGGGAATGGCCCTCAAAGCAGGTCCCCAATGTCAGTGGGGATGTTTGCCATGAGCTGTATGGCATCACAGGCTGCTTGCTCACCATGGAGCGGCGGCTCCTGAGCCAGGCAGATGTGGTGGTGTTCCCCCACACCAGGCTTCAGCCTGACAGGGACAAGCTGCCCAAGGAGAGACTGCCAGGGCAGAACTGGGTGTGGGTCTCCCTGGAGTCACCCTCCAACACTAAAGCTCTAGCAAGATGGAACCAGACTTTCAACTGGGTGATGACCTACAGACGGGACTCAGACATCTTCATCCCCTATGGCAAGCTTGTGCCCAACCAGTTGGCCACCGTGAACATCCCCACAAAGACCAACTTGGTGTCCTGGGTTATCAGCAACTACCACAGGACTCAGAAAAGAGCTGAAGTCTACAGAAACCTCTCCAGATATCTCCACGTGAACATATATGGGAAAGCAAACAAAAAGCCACTTTGCAAGGACTGCCTCTTGCCAACGACATCCAAGTCCAAGTTCTACCTGGCCTTTGAGAACTCCATCCACCAGGACTACATCACTGAGAAGCTCTGGAGGAACTCGCTGATGGCTGGCACTGTGCCCGTGGTGCTGGGCCCTCCCCGGGCCAACTATGAGCAGTTCATTCCTGCAGACTCCTTCATTCACGTCGATGACTTTGGTTCCCTGGCAGAGCTGGCCACCTTCCTGAAGACCATGAACTCCAGCCGCTACCAGCAGTTCTTTGCCTGGCAGAAGAGGTATAGTGTGAAGCTCTACGCTGACTGGAAGGAGCGGATCTGCACCATCTGCACCGCCTACCCCAGCCTGCCTCACGGCCATGTCTATCCCAGCCTGGAGAGCTGGTTCAACACCTAGCACGGTGTGGTGTGTGCTGGGACCATTGGGGACACATCTGGGCAGAGGATACAGGGTTGGGGGGCCGTGGGAAACCCTCCTACATACCAGGATATGGGGCAGGGAGGGATGCGGGAGTCCCAACCTCTCCTCCCAGCCTGGCTGTTGCCACACTGGCACCTTGAGCAACTCTGCATGATTTCATTTCTTGCAAAATGGAATCCAACACTGACCTACCTCGCCAGGGTGCTGGCAGGATGAGAGGGTGCTTTGGAAATAAATGACACAGTGCTGCAGATTCTCTCTGCCTGTGGTGCAAGGGCTGGGCAGGGCAGAGGGCTGGCAGGGGGCTCAGGGCTCCCCAACCTTCCCCTGTGATTGCTTCATGGCCCCCCCAGCACCTTCTGCTGGTTGGCAAAGCCCCAGTGACAGAGGCTTCACAGTGACATTTCTGGCTGGGGTAGAGAAGCCGAGCTCAGGGCAGCCCAGAGGGGCCGGAAAGCACAGCCTCTGCTCCGCCACTTCCTGGCACAGGCAACAGCACGCATTTTCCCCACCCACCCCCACTCTCGAGCTGTGGACTGGCAGGACACCGGATGCTTTCAAGACCAATCTCAGCCTGCTCAGTGACAGACTGAGTCAGAGGGATGCTGTGGTTTCTCACTCCCTTGCCGTGCCACCCAGGAAGCCAGCAAGGTGGTGGCATCTGCAGCCTCACAGCAAGCCAGAGCAAAGCCGGTCCTGTGGGCACCCTGCGGTACCACCAGCAGCCCCCTCCGTGTGCCCTTGGCACTGCCAAACCCCTGTACACCCCACATCACGCGTGCACCATGCACCCCAGGACCCACACTACCAGCATCCTGCAGTGCTGGACCCTGTGCCACACACACCCTGCAGCCTGGGCACCCTGCAGCACACACATAATGCACCCTGTGCCATGCACACACGTTGCACACTTGACACCCTGCAGCACACACTCTGCAGTGCACACACCCTGCACCCTGGGCACCCTGCAGCACACACACCCTGCACCCTGGGAATGGGCAATGCCCAGGCACCCCCAAGAGGAAGCACCCAACGGGGATCGGTGGCAATATTGGGGCTGGGTGACAAGACCAGGGGATGGGACATGCTCCATTTGTGCCTTGCCCCAGTGCCCCTCAGCTCAGTGCCATCAACCCCCTCGATTTAAACAACTAATTTTTTCACCGGTTTCCCCCGGTTTCCCTTACTGCAGCCCTGAAGCAGCCATGAGCTGCCGGGTGCCCCCCAGGACCTGCTCCCCATGCCTGGGGTGCAGTGGGGCTCAGGAACACGGTGACACCCCCCCAGAAGAGGGGGTTGGCCCTTCACTACATCCTCGGGGGCCATTCACCCAGCCCAGCCCAGCCTAGCCAACCCTCCCTAGGCTGCAGTTTGATGGGCACACTGTGCCATTTTGAGTTCTACGGCTTCTGATTTGTTTTGTCTTCTGGGTCAAACTGAAAATGGAGCAGGAGTCTCCGAGCACCCGCCGATAGGGTGCTGGAGCAGCAGGATTTGGGGGTTCTGCAAAGGGTTGGGGCTCCTGCCTGGCTGGCCTTTTGCTGGAGCAGAAAATCAGGTGGTGGAAATGTGGAGAAGAAAACCTCAGGGAGACAATATTCTTCCCAGGCTTTCTGCTACCAACCCCGCTGCTCTTCAGGCTCCAGCACCCCCACCCCACCCACCACCAAAGTGCCAGGCAGCAAAGGGGGGCAGTTTCCAGTGGGTGCCATGCCTGGCTCTGCCCCCACCCTGCGGGCAGGCAGGGATGTGGCCTGGACACTCAGGCACTGGGCAGCAAGTGGGACACAGGGCGAGCCATGGGCATCCTGCCCCTTGTGCTCCCTGGCCCTTCACAGGGTCCCAAGGTGCCCTGTGAGCAGCTGACCCCACTCCTTGCCTGGCTCTTGGGAGCAAACCCATTGTTTACCAGCAGCCGAGCTGAAAAAGGGGCTTTTCAGAAGTTTCCCTACAAGCTGGGTAATTTAACTGCTTCTGCTCAGGGGCAAAACCCCTTGGGGGCACAGGCTGGTGGCAACCCAGTCTGCAGAGGCAATGGCAGTGAAAAGTGGTGTCATCCCCCAAACACTTGATTCTCCTAGCTGGGCTGGCACCTATCCCCACCAGCTCAGGCCCTGGTGCCCACCCTGACCTGCCTGGCTGGACCATGCACATGGGAGCATTGCTCACCATCCAGCAGCCCCGCGGTGAGGACAGCACAGGTGTCCTGTACCTCCCCTGCCCACCCCAGGGCTGGAACTCGGCAGCTCCCACTACAGCCCCACCTGGTCCTTCCCTGCCTGCAGGGACCACTGGAGCACCTTGTGCAATCCCACTGGGCTTCCACCCTTCCCAAAGCAGCCTCCAAGACCACTTTTGGTGGCAGGCTGGGCTGCCGACAGCCAAAAGCCGGGTGGTGCTGGCCCAATGAGGACAGGTCAGCCCGATTTCCACACCACTGGGCTGCCTGGCACCATGCAGCAGCAGGGACGCAAGGGAAGGGATAATTCACACTCATGCCCCAAAGAACTGAGATTTATTTCATTGTCAGAAAGAATATGATTAAGAAAACAAAAATATAAAAATCACCAACTACAGCAGGCTCAAAGGCACAGGGGTGCTAGCAGCATGGACAGGACAGTGTTGGCCCCTCTGGGCTGGGACCCCCCGGGGAAAGATGGTCCCTGGGCAGCCAGTTTAGGGCAGAAGAACAATGGCTGGAGCGTGGAAAGGGCACAGGGGACCTGGGGTGATGCTGGGCACAAGGGCCAGGGAGGATCCCCACCGGCCCCCCCTTCCAAAACAAACCCCATCAGGTGAAGCTCTCCTGTGCCAACAGGGCGAGGGGAGGCTGGGGCTGCAAGGGTTCACTGAGGGCTCACTGCCAGCCCCACACCCCAGTACTCGGCTTGCCCCAGCTGCTCGGGAGGGTGGGCAGAGCCGCTGGGGACCCTGGCCCTGGGCACAGTGTGCCAGCCCCGCTCTACGTGACAGGGAGGAGGCACCTGGGAAACTAGTAATCACTACAAAGATTTTTGCTTTTTAAAAAACTACAACCAAAAACCATTTAAAAAAATAAAACCACTCCCCCCACCCCCCACCCTTCCCTCCTCTCAAAAAAAAAAAAAAAATCTAAAAAATACTTTTTTCTGGGTCTTGAAGGAGAGCAGCTCACCTGGGCTGGGGCAGGGTGCTCCATTCTGGGCACGTGTGGCTTCAGTGGCGTGCAGTGGGGCAGGAGCAGCTGCCCCCAGGAGAGCTCTGAGGAGGGCCGACGCTGCTGGGACCAGTAAACTCACATAACTGGGAAGGACTGGGAGCAATGGCAGAGAGCAGGCACCATCCCCTTATCAGGCTCCCAGCCCTTCCCCTGCCCCTCATGCCCCAAAAGCCCCAAGGCAGCCCAGGGAGTGCCCTGGGAGCAGGAGCGGGGCTGTGCCTGTGCCTTCTCAGGACGAAGTGGGGGGGAAGCTTCCCCCCCGAGAGCCAGCCCAGCCGTGGTGTCGGGGCGGCACTGCCACTGGCCCCACAGCCCCTGGTTCAGTGGCTGCTGTTGCTCATGGAGAGCCCAGGCTGCAGCGCTTGAGGGAACATCTCAGCTTTGTGGAAGGGCGGCATGTAGACGGGAGGGGAAGGCGCCAGGCTGTAGCCCTGGGACGTCACCGGGATGGGCAGGCCAGTGGGCATCAGGGACTGGTTCATGTCATACATCGCTCCCTCCGCCTCGTTGCCGAAGGGCAGCAGCAGCCGTTTGCCTTTCTGACGCCGGTTGCAGAACCAGACTCGGACCACCTGCAAGGGAGGGGAGATGGGGAAGGGTGAGAGCCCAGATGCTGTGTGTGTGACAAGGAGACCCTTCTGCTGGTGGCATCTCCACAGCGCCCTGACCCACCAGCACAGCCCCCTCCCTGCCACAGCTCCTCCTCAGGCTGGGCTCAGACAGGTAGATGGTGGCTACCAGCTATGGCCACCTTCTCACAGCTTCCAGTACTGAACTGGCCTGATGTGAGTGGCTCAGTAACTGTGGCCATTTGGGGCACCCATCCTCTGAACCCTCCCAACATACGTCTTTGTCCAGGTTGAGGTCCTCGGCAATTTGGGAGATCTCCTGGGGACTGGGCTTCACGCACTTGCGGAAGAAGCTCTCCAGTGTCCCCTTCACGTTGGTCTCGATGCTGGTCCTGCGTTTTCTCTTCCGGGCTTGGGCCAACACTTGCTCCGCATTGCACATCTGGAAATGAGAGAGGCCACGCACTCGTGGTGACAGAGCTCACAATGTCCCCACCAGGCCCTGGACACACAGTCCGCAGGGGTCTGGTCTGGGAGGGATGGGCACAGGCTGTGACTGTCCCACTGAGTATCACCCCACTGTGACTGGGGCCATTCCCAGTGTCCCAGCACTGCCTACGGCTGGAGCAGGGGGTTGGACACAATCTCCCTGCATCCCTCCAGGCTCCTCAGGGACCATCATCTCCAGCTTTTCAGAGATTCCAGCAGGACCTGGCTGCTCCGAGACGGGAGCTGTCACTGTTGTCACAAGGTGCCTGGGGGTGGCATTTGGGGTCCCCCCAGCCTGGCAGCAGGTGATAGCCAGTGGATACGTTCCCTCTACAGCTGGACTGAAGCCGTGGCAGCAAGATGTTGCTGTGGACAAGGCCCCTGCTGCTCCCCTCCTCCCTCCCAAAAAGCAAAGTGTAAAAGGAAGAAGCTGCAGCCTGAGGGCTCACTGGTGTGCAGCGCCCTAACTCCCAACCCTCCCCAGCCCCATACCTCTTGCATGTTGTCCGTGTTCTCTGCCTCGTTGAGCCAACGCTGCAGCAGTGGCTTCAGCTTGCACATGTTCTTGAAGCTGAGCTGGAGCGCTTCAAAGCGGCAGATGGTCGTCTGGCTGAACATCTTCCCTGCACGGGCAGGCAAGGGAGGGTGTCACGCACCGCTCCTGCCCCGGGGTATCTCCCACCTCCAGAAGCCCCCCAGAATCCCTATTCCAGCATCATCCCCTGTCCCAGCATGCCCAGGAAAGGCATTCTCCCTGCTGCTTCAGCAGGGATTTAAAGCACTGAAACTCTTCAATAGGCAGCTGTAGCTATTTTAAACCAGTTTCTTGTTATCAAACCCATCCAGCTTGAGCGACTATTTAAAACAGGGCCCCGGAGCCCTGGGGCTGGTGCTCACCGACTCCTTTTCAGGTCGTTAAGGAATAGAAATCTCCATAGCGTGGGTGCTCCATCCCCCTCCCAGGCCTCTCCCTTCCCTCCGGGGGTAGGGTGCAGACAAGGACCCTTACCGTAGAGAGTGCCCAGCGCCAGCCCCACGTCAGCCTGGGTGAAACCCAGCATGATGCGCTTGTGCTTGAGGTCCTTGGCGAACTGCTCCAGCTCTTCGGAGGTTGGCGCATCCTGGCAGGGGCAGAGAGATAAACTGAGATGGGACAAACTCATACCCAGGGGCTGCCATGAGCGGGCTCTGTCCATGTGTTGGGTTCAGCGTGGGACAGGGATGGGAGCACGAGAGGGCACATCCCCCCACCGGCGGCTGCCACCTCTGGGTGATGGGGTGGGCAGCAGGTTTTTCCCCAACAAGGGGCTCTGCTCAGGGACCCCAAAGTGCCTCAGCCCTGCCCCATGCAGGAGCCTCTGGACATCCCCCGACCACGGCACACCGCCCAGCTCACACAGCGCTGGTGTGGCGGTGGCACAAGGGCCCGGGGACAGAAAGCAGGTTCCGGGAGCACCCAGAGCTCCTGCTCTGCCCCAATACGCCCTGGGAACGTCCCCTCTGGCCCCAGGCTCAGACCCTCGTGGCCTGACCGGAGGCAGCACCGATGGGCGCATTTGCTGATGGCCGCAGCATCGCCCCACTCTCACGACAGGTCCCCGCGGGCTCAACTATCCCGGGATGTGGGCACCCACCTCCCCACGGCTCTCGAGCACGGGGCAGCCCCTTGCCAGCGCCTCTCCCGCCTGCGCCCAGGGCACGTGAAACGGCTCAGATGAAGCGAATGATGAAAGCCCCCATGACTCGAGTGGGATTCAAACACCTTTATTACACTGCCAGGCTCTTCCCTCCTAGAAAGCTGCTTACCCAGGTGCTTCCCTTCCTCCCTACAGCACAGCCTCCAAGTGCTGCGGCGGCATTTTGCAATCTTTTAACACATTTCCAGCGCACTTTCGGATTCTACAGACGTCTCTCCTGCCACCAAGTCTCGGCTTTTAATTCCTGGCGTACCTCGGCAGCCCTCCCTGCCGCGGGTCAGCCCTCAACAATCCCTCAACCGCGGAAGACCATTCCTCGGAACACATCACGGCCTGGGGGACGCGCATCCCTCCACGCATGGGAGCTCCTGAATCTCCGTGGCAGGTACCCGGCTGCAGTCCCGCAAACCCAACCGACATGCCCGCACCAACCCCCTGCAACTGCAGCCAACCCCGGCATCATCTGCCGCTGCTACCCCTGAGGCGCGTTTGACTGGGAGGGACGGGCTTATGTTATGCCAAGATTTGTAAAATGTTAGAAACAACCCCAAAATACAACTGCCAGTCACGCTGATAACTACCGCCGCTACCCTCCGAGCCGCCTCCTCCCCCCCGCCCCGTCTCCGGGATGGCTCTGCCCGGTCCTGGCAGCCGTCGGGAGCCCGCGGAGCCCCGGGAGGAGCGGCCAGGGGCAGCCGCCGTCCCCGCACGGCCGAAGATTGCTGCCAGGAGCCGGGCTACG